TTCCTTAGCTTAGTGAAAGAGGTGAAGTGCCACTGACTTTCATCATCCAGTCATATGCAAGCAAAAAATCCTGTTTTTTTTTTTCCTTGAACATGATTGGGTATTCTTTGTACTGTGAATTTTCACTGTATTTACTAAACTTGGGGGAAATGCCTTTGCAAAGTGAAAATTCCCCTACAAAGTGAAAAGCCTTTTTGTCTTTAATAGATCAACCACAATGCTTCTCCCAGAAGTCTACATGAAAGTCAAAGTCAAGTTACAACCATCGTGTTCCATGCCCTTCAATGACCGTACATATACTGCTCACTGACTTTGATGAGATAAGTGTACAGGGTGATTTTTGACCATGCTGGGACTGGTCATTTGATTACTGTGAAGACAGAACCTCTCACTTAGTCTTAATGTCAGCAAGTACACTGGAGTACCATCTCTCAATATTTGTACAATAAAATGTTTAAGGATTTTTGACAATGTTTGCTTTAATCCTTGCATTGTATATAACTGACCTGCAGGGAAATGTATTTTATCAAACAAAGTGAAATTTTACTTTAAGCATATTTATACGGCTTGTCTAGGTATAATCAATGTTATGATCAGTTTTGTTCTATTTTAATCCTTTATGTCATCGTTTTCTCCTTCCAACCAGTCACTCATTAATTACAAGACAAATGTGATATTTCAGACTATCTGTTAATACATTAACTGACTGCTCTGATCACAGTTTTTATATATAAAATAATGACAGATTTATTACTACCCAGTTGTGATAGAATAGCTGATCTGAACCTACCAGCAGTGTTTTTCTTCTCGTATTCTTGTTTTAATTCATTTTTCTTTGTTGGATATACACTGTCTCCTGCAATTACAGTATTATTACTTTATGGTGTACCTGCCAGGTAATCTCAAAGTTAAATTATTAACTGTCGCTATTGTTAAATGAAAACTCCTTTGCATGACTGAATAACATCTCTCTCCTAACTGTCACATAAAATAAACAGGAGAAATGTGTCTTCGGGATGGATAGCAACACTGTATTGATGGGAAGGTGCTTTGGAATGATTGCAGTCATCAAAAAAAAAAGCCACAAAAAAAATCCAAAAAAACAACCTTACAACTGATCCTTAAAACGGTTGTTGTTATTGTTGTTCATGTTATTTTTGTTGTTTTTATTATTTTAATTGTTATTATTAGTAATAATAATAATAATACAAATAATATTACACTATAATTTTGGACCTACGAAGCAAAAAGCAAAAAAATGTGTTTAGAAGTCAATTATTGCTATCAAAAATGGTTTGTTATATTTTAAAAAAACATCTGATATATAAAATATATTAAATATATATAGAGAAAAACTATAAACAAAATATACACATTTAGAAAAAAAAAAAAAAATTAGAAGCAATGTGAGCTGACAAAATTACATGTAGTGCAATTTAAGATTATATCTAATTGGATTCAAGGTAAGTTGTCAGTAAGACATTATTAATGTGGTAAGGTCAGCATTTATGTTGTCAAGGGTTTTAAGCTCAACTTCAACCTCAGTCCTCCTTGGAGAAGTCCATAAAAAATCTTTATACATGCCAACATATTATGCCCAGGTATTTTCTGCCCAGTCAAAGGTCTTCTTCCCTCTCTTCTTCAACCGTCAGTGGGCCTCTCATTTAAAGATTATATTCACTGTAAGGGGAGAAAACAATGAGAGGATATAGAAGATGAAAGAAAGAAAATACCAAGGAGCAAAAACAGAGAAGACCTTTCAAGGCTGAGACTTATGAAGGGTTTCTTTTAACCATTTCAGCTCTCACACATGTACAGCAACTATGGACCAGAGACATTTTTTACATTTCTGCTATTGGCCTATTGATTCAGCAATAACTTTGTCATTCAACAAAAAATAAGAAAAAATAAAACATTTTCCTTATTGCTGCACAGTGCTAAAATAAAATATATCTTATATAACCATTGTATATCAAAATTGAATCTCACCATGCATAATATATATATATATATATATTGTGGGAACTCGCTTCAACGTGGTAGAGCTTCTTCAAAGCACACAGCAACTCGCTTCTTTTAAGGGCTTTTTTTGCCCACTTTTATTTACAAGAAATTTCAAGAAACACAAATGCTTCCCACGCAGGGGTATCCAACATCAAGCAAATCAATAGTATTCAGCCTCCTGGCTTGCACGCAGTTTTAAGTCTGCCTCCTGCAGACTCTTCCCAAAATATGGCACCAGCACACAGCTAGTCTGGCTTCCACCTGACTCCAAGGCAGAGACCTCCCGTCTGCCGGGGTGGAGCCCTCCTGACTCCGTTTGCCGGGGTGGAGCCCGCCTGACTCCTAAATGCTGGGGTGGAGCCCAGAACTATGGTTAGGCCTCTACAAAAAGGTCTGCACACACCTGTGCAATCAGTGTGCTGGGGGTTCTCAAAACATGGACCCCGGATTGGAGATTTCATCCCTCCCAGATCTCTTCGAAATCTCCAGGCTCCAGATCCCAAAACAAACTTACTGAATAAATGAGGAAACCGAAAAGTCAGTTTCCTCTGCAATACATTAACTCTCTGGAGCCCCTCAACCTGCCTGGTTGAGAATCCAGGGTTTTCGACTTGAGTTTGACCGTGGCAGGACACCGCACTGCCACAATATATATATATATATTGCTCAGCATAAATGAGTACACCCCAACAGATTTGTCAGAAAACCTTTACTTTCCTTTCAGAATCATTTTCTATGGGACACCATACTACAAAATACTCCTACAAATGCGGGCCATTGATTGCAAACAAGATTTTTTAATTCACACACACAATACATATTTTGCCTAACAAATTCTTTCAAGACCATGTTGCAAAAATTAATACACCCCAATAAAAGTCTTAGGAGCAAAGCTAAGTTTTAGACAACAAAATCCTAATTAATAGGAATTCAACTACAGGTGAGTTTAATTCATTACACAGATGTCCAGCAGACAGTTGATTAGAAAAGGGCATTACTTACCAAAGAAAACCCCTTCCCTTTTCATGCTGTCAGCAAAGGCGCATGTGAAAGAGAAATGTCACAAGGCCTGCAACAGAATATAATTTCTTTACACAAGAATGGTGAAGGCTACAATAAGATCAGCAAAGCTTTACTTATCAGTCAGAATACTGTAGCAAAAGTGATACAAAAATTTAACAAAGATGGAACTGCAACCATCTCACAGATACATCGATGCCGTCATCAGAAGTTAACACCTTGACAGGAGCATTTTCTGATGAGAAGGGTTGAAGAAAATCACCATGCAAGTTCACTGCAGTTAGCTAAAGAAGTAGAACTGAGTTGACTGTTTACCGTGACACAATACAACATAAACTGCAAAGGAGTGGCATGCATGGGTGTTGTCCATTAAGGAAGCCTCTCCTAAAGCCCTTGCACAAAAAAACCCACATAGAATGTGCCAGGGCTCATGCTGAAAAATAAAAAGACTACTGGGACTCTGTACTCTTGAGTAAGGAGACCAAGATGAATGTTTTTGGAACTGATGGCTCCAAAACTGTATGGCGTTGAAAAGATGAGGAGTACAAAGAAAATTGAATGGTGCCTACAGTGAAACATGGTGGTGGCAGTGTCCTTCTGTGGGGCTACATGAGTGCTGCTGGTGTTGGGAAGCTGCATTTTATTGATGGCATCATGAATTCACAGATGTACTGCTCTATATTGAAAGAGAAGATGCTACCATCACTCTGTGCCCTTGGTCGTCGTGCACTTTTCCAACATGGCAATGATCCAAAACACACATCTAAGTCTACTGTTGCATTTCTGAAGAAGAACAGGGTAAAAGTGATTCAGTGGCCAAGTATGTCTCCTGATCTGAACCTAATCGAACACCTATGGGGAATTCCGAAGAGACAAGTTGAGCATCACTCTCCATCCAGCATCCAGGCTCTAAAAGAGGTCGTTCTTGAAGAATGGAAAAAGATCGATGTTACCATAAGTCACCAACTTGTTCATTCCATGCCTAGAAGACTTGGTGCTGTCCTTAAAAATCATGGAAGTCATACAAAATACTAGATGTAGTAGTTTTTTGTTTATGGGGTGTATTCATTTTTGCATCAACTAATTTGAATAAAACTGAAGATTTTGTAATTTAAGTTATATTATTAATCTTACTTTCATGTAAATGTTCTATAAAACTCAGTTTTGTCAAAATTGTGGCAATTGTTTTTGTATTCAATGAGATATTTAAAATCTTACTTTTCAAAAGGGTTGTACTCATTTATGCTGAGTACATATATACCGTATTTTTCACTCCATAAGATGCACTTTTTTCCCCCCAAAAAAGGGGGGAAAATGTCAGTGCGTCTTTTGAAGCGAATATGGAGCGGCCGGTCCGGTATTTCCGCCGCCGCCGCCATCAGAATACCGGGCCAGCCGCTTATCTCTTCTCTGCAGCAGAAACTTATCTGTTCCTCGGTCAAGCATTTTACAGTCTTCCCATGCCGGCATCTTTAGTGTGGGCACTCGGCTGTGACAGCCAGGTGCCCACTTTGCATGTGTGAGAAGTGCTGCGCTTTGTGAATGGTACGGCATCTTTTGGGACATATGACGGTTCCAGAAGACTCTGGACCAATCACAAAGCACAGCTAAAAGGGAGCTGGTACCTGCACACTAAAGGGAGGACAGCTCCACGGACGTGGGAGCGGGTACCTGTCAAATGCAGGTACCCACTCCCCCTCCCCCCCAAAGGTCAACAGTCTCTTGGTCATCCCCTGTACTGTTTGCAGTCTCTGGTCATCCCCTGTACTGTCTGCAGTCTCTTGGTCATCCCCTGTACTTTCTGCAGTCTCTTGGTCATCCCCTGTACTGTCTGCAGTCTCTGGTCATCCCCTGTACTGTCTGCTGTCTGCAGTCTCTGGTCATCCCCTGTACTGTCTGCAGTCTCTTGGTCATCCCCTGTACTTTCTGCAGTCTCTTGGTCATCCCCTGTACTGTCTGCAGTCTCTTGGTCATCCCCTGTACTGTCTGCAGTCTCTGGTCATCCCCTGTACTGTCTGCAGTCTCTGGTCATCTCCTGTACTGTCTGCAGTCTCTTGGTCATCCCCTGTACTTTCTGCAGTCTCTTGGTCATCCCCTGTACTGTGTCTGCAGTCTCTGGTCATCCCCTGTACTGTCTGCAGTCTATGGTCATCCCCTGTACTGTCTGCAGTCTCTGGTCATCCCCTGTACTTTCTGCAGTCTCTGGTCATCCCCTGTACTGTCCGCAGTCTCTGGTCATCCCCTGTACTGTGTCCGCAGTCTCTGGTCATCCCCTGTACTGTCCGCAGTCTCTGGTCATCTCCTGTACTATGTCTGCAGTCTCTGGTCATCTCCTGTACTGTGTCCGCAGTCTCTGGTCATCTCCTGTACTGTCCGCAGTGTCTGGTCATCTCCTGTACTGTGTCCGCAGTCTCTGGTCATCTCCTGTACTGTGTCCGCAGTCTCTGGTCATCTCCTGTACTATGTCTGCAGTCTCTGGTCATCTCCTGTACTGTGTCTGCAGTCTCTGGTCATCTCTTGTACTATGTCTGCAGTCTCTGGTGGTCATCTGTACTGTGTCGGCAGTCTCTGGTCATCCCCTGTACTATGTCTGCAGTCTCTGGTCATCCCCTGTACTGTGTCTGCAGTCTCTGGTCATCTCCTGTACTATGTCCGCAGCCTCTGGTCATCTCCTGTACTATGTCTACAGTCTCTGGTCATCTCTTGTACTATGTATGCAGTCTCTGGTCATCTCCTGTACTATGTCTACAGTCTCTGGTCATCTCTTGTACTATGTCCGCAGTCTCTGGTCATCTCCCGTACTATGTCCGCAGTCTCTGGTCATCTCCTGTACTGTGTCTGCAGTCTCTGGTCATTTCCTGTACTGTGTCTGCAGTCCATTGGTTCAGAATTTTTTTATGCTTGTTTTTCTCCTCTAAAACCTAGGTGCGTCTTATGGTCAGGTGTGTCTTATGGAGCGAAAAATATGGTATATATATATATATCCATGCCAAGTATAAATAATAAAAAGTGCTTTAAACATAAGTGTCAATATAGGTGTTGATTTACAAAAAATGCAGAGTGCGAAATCTGATGAGGCTCTGCATAGAAACCAGTCAGATTCCAAGTTTTATTGTCTAAGCTTAAAAGAGAAGTTTAGGTTTTGTTTTTTGTTTTTTTTTACTTACCTGCATCTGTCCCCTGCCGACTCTAAGGGTGAGAACTCAGCAATCACATGATCACTGAGTTCTCACCGCCGCTGTGAGCAGAGAGTGGTGACTGTCTTCTCCTTTAACTGAAAATGCTGAAGTTAGAAGCTGATTGGCTACCATGCACATCTGTACCAGATTTTCCATGCTCCAGTTTTATTAAATCTCATAGTGTAAAAAAAATATCCACACTTGATCTTTCAATAAATCAGTTTGCACATCAATAATTATACAGGGAAGGGGGCACTAGAGCACTCAGAATCTGGTGCAGCTGTGCATGATAGTCAATCAGCTTCTAACTTCAGCTTGTTCAATCATGCTTTGAGAATAAAACTTGTTTGAGGTGATTATAGCCGCATTAGTGCACTTGCAACAGAAACAATTGAGTGCTGTCCACGATACTTTTTTTTTTTTTCTACTAACATACAAGTTTTAGGACAAGCTTTTGGAGTATATCCCCTTCTTGAAGGTCCAAGCAGTACTACTACACAAACTTTTAGCAGCAATAAAACTTGGAAGCTGATTAGTTACTATGCAGAGCTGCAGTGGATTATGCATGCTCCAGTTTTAGTAAATAACCCTCATAGTGCCCACTTTTCATTCATTTCAATAAGATGAATGTGAACAGCAAGAAAAACACTTCCAGTGTGATACCATTCCCCTCTGGACACCACTCACCTTCTGGTACTGTCCTAAACCTATCTAACCAGGAATATCAGATAGGTCTCATAGGCATTGAATCCACAGAGTTCAGAACCACATAAGCTGAAAGGTGTCTTCAGGGTATGTTCCTTTCAAACTCACAGGAAAAGACCAGAATCACATATAGCATAAACCCTGTAAACAAAGTGTAATCAGTAATCATTCCTTCCAATCCTAAATGTCACATCATCAGGCTCCACCCTTTGTCATTATCTAAGATAACAAGGTAATTCTGTACATGTATCTTTTTATCAGGACAAACATTAAAAAATATTTTTATTTTTAATGCAAATGATATAACAAAAGTAAAAAGCCACTTTCTACTTCAATAAGTGTTAATAACAAAATTGTGCTACTCTACAGTAGATATACAGTATACTTTTTATTCCATTGTTTGTCCTATTTAAAATGACACCCACATTATGTTTATGCTACCAAGCATTTCAAAGTTATGTATAAATGAAATAATTTTTTTTTGTAATTTGTTTTGCCCTTTAGTTTAAATAATAATGGGTATGAAAATAGAAATAAAAAAAATCAGCAGGAAAAAAATAGAGAACTTCAAGGTACCATTCCAGTTACTTATGTCGGAGGTACAATACCTGTCAACTTCCCTATAGTGACTATGGTTGGGGAGTCAGAGGAAACTGGCCCAGCACAAGAAATAGCAGATATACTGGTGGTCAAGGAAGATTTTGTGGGACAGAGCAGTTAATATACTAAAGGCAAATAGGTTTTTTGCTTTGTAAGGCAAGTTACTGTTTGAAAGGAAATTTTCCCCAGAACTTGGTGAACCTAGTGAAGTTTCAGTTTGCAAAGAATTCCCAAACATGTGCAAGGAAAATATAAAAAAGCATTTTTGCTTGCACTTTGTTTGATGGTGGAAGTCAGCAAAGCTTCACCACCTTTACTAAGCTATGGGGAAAAGTTATTTGCCAAGTGCAACTTCCACTGCAAAGAGAACAGCCTGTTCAATATTAAAGATTTTTATTCTTACATTTGATGGGATTCTAGGGGCAACCTTTAAAAACACAGAAGAAGCTATTTCTTTAAAAATAAATTTTATTTTTACATCCAATACAGTATATCATTAAAAAATTCTGTTAACACATACAAAATTAATATCTAAATACTTCAAAATATGTTTCATAGCAATTCAAGGTACTTGTTAGGTTCTAATGTTGTGGTGTAATCCAACATTGATCCAGTGGTATCCCCCTTAACTAATTTCTATCTTATAACCTTTGAATTCTGATTATAGGTACATTCAGCATAGAATCCAGCATGTTTCGAATATTTATCATAAATTCCTCTTCAGGGATTCCTCCCATCCCTCTGACAGATAATATGGGGAGAAGTGAAATTTGAAAACAGCGTGGCCATGCGGGGCTCCACCCACACGGTCTCATCATTCATTCACAGATGTCTGTGAGTGATTGAACTTCAAATCCCGGCAGCCTTAGTGGCTATGGGCTTGTAGTTTTCAATGAACTACCACGGTGCTGTGGAGTGCCGTGGTAGTTCACTGAAGCTTCCTGTCAGAATATCTGCTTGACCATACATCCCATATGGCAAGCAGATATTCTGACAGGTCTGCAGGAGACCTGCATGGCATCAGCGATCTACTGACTGCTGGTGCAATGCTTTCCAGGCTCCTGTAGACAAAAATATTAAATGCACATTTGTTTACCTGCAAAAAACGTGCATTTATTTTTTTTTCTAAATAATGAACCTATCCTTTAAGCTTTAGCAACAAAACCTGTAAGCTGATTGGTTTCTATGCAGATGTGCACGAGATTCTGAGTGAACCAGTTTTAGCAAATATACTCCCCTGTGTTTGCTTCCTTCCTGAACAAAAGTGAAGACAAACCTGTTTGGACTGTTCCTGGGTGTCCCTATCTCATTTACTGCTGCCAGTACCAGTTGTGCCTGTTCCCCTATACACTATGTATTTCAAGGTTTTGGTTACTTGGCATGAGTGACATTGATTATACTGTCCCCCTTACACTATGTATTTCAAAGCTTTGGTTACTTGACATGAGTGTCATTGCGTATCCTGTCCCTCTTACACTATGTATTTCAAGGTTTTGGTTACTTGGCATGAGTGTCATTGAGTATACTGTCCCCCTTACACTATGTATTTCAAAGTTTTGGTTACCTTGCCTGAGTGTCATTGAATATACTGTCCCCTTTACACTATGTATTTCAAAGTTTTGGTTACTTGACCTGCGTGTCATTGAGTATCCTGTCCTCCTTACACTATGTAGTCCAAAGTTTTGGTTACTTGGCATGAGTGTCATTGAATATACTGTCCCTCTTACACTATGTATTTCAAAGTTTTGGTTACTTTGCCTGAGTGTCATTGAGTATCCTGTCCCTCTTACACTATGTAGTCCAAAGTTTTGGTTACCTGGCATGAATGTCTTTGAGTATACTGTCCACCTTACACTATGTATTTCAAAGTTTTGGTTATTCGGCATGATTGTCATTGAGTATCCTGTCCCCCTTACACTATGTAGTCCAAGGTTTTGGTTAATTGGCATGAGTGTCATTGAGTATACTGTCCCCCTTACACTATGTATTTCAAAGTTTTGATAACTTGGCATGAGTGTCATTGAATATACTGTCCCCCTTACACTATGTATTTCAAAGTTTGGTTACTTGGCCTGAGTGTCATTGAGTATCCTGTCCCCCTTACACTATGTAGTCCAAAGTTTTGGTTACTTGGCATGAATGTCTTTGAGTATACTGTCCACCTTTCACTATGTATTGAAAGGATCAATTTTCTTTATCCCCTCAGAGACCCCTGGTTTGGGGAGAGATTCCTGGTTTATCAGCAGAATTCTGGGAACACCCTATGAACACGGAATAACAGCAGGCAGCTTATGTTCAAGGATGTTCAAAGTTTATTAGACATTACTAAGATTATATAGGATATAGAAAAAAAAAGGGAGGGGGGGAGTGAGTTTCAAAACTGTAACTTTTAAGTTTCCATCATGAGCGAACTACATGAAACATGACATACATTTCTTGAAATAAACTGGTTTTGCTAGCTTTCTGAGAATTATCTGGACAAAGAAAACTTCAGGGTCATCTTATCATTGTTTATACATTTTTGTGCAAGCTGAAACAGTTTCATTAAACTTCCAATATATCTGCAAAAAGCTAACTTGGGTACACTAGATGTTGGTGTTGTGGTTTCTTTGGGTTCTGTGGATTGTTCCTTATACAAATAATGCACCTGGAAACATATTCTTTCACCAACCTAGGTAAACCTGTAATGTAAAAATCTTGCAATAATGTTTCACATGTCGTTTTCCATCCTCTATCTAGACTGTAGTACTGTGCAATGAACAGTGGGGCACTTGATATGGGAATACATGGTTTCCCCTCTAAGCACACTAGACCGGAAGCTGGATCTAGTTGTGCTCCAGAACCATTCCAGTCTGCTAGATCGACTTTTGTAGCAAATTTGTGTAAATCTGCATACATCTGATCATGTGGTGTGGTTGTGACGCCTAAAGTGAGCATAGGCATCTGTTCATTGGCCACCTGTTGTAATGCAGCTTCCTTTGCTACTTTATCTGCTAATGCATTTCCTTTGACAACATGATCCTTGCGATTTGTATGTGCCCTGCAATGAAGAATGACTAATGTTTTTGGTAACTGTATGGCTTTTAGTAGATCAGATATCAAGGAAGAGCGAGATATGGTTTTGCCATCAGCAGCAATGAATCCTCTTCTCTCCCAAATTACCCCAAAATCGTGTACAGCAC